GCGAGGTAATTGGATACATACAGTCATACATACAGGACAAACTGAGAACCTTTGAAGTCGGTTAAAAACAATCATCGAAATCCCCATACATTTTTCTGCACAAGGATTGAACTCAACGATATTTAGATCCAATTTTATGAATAGGGTAAAATCAAACCAAAATTAAACAATAGTACCTAGTGATGTCGAATTGTGTTTTCCGTTCATACTATCGAAATCTTGCGATTGACCGTAATCCCTATAATCAGATTGATAAACATAGATAAGTCCTCGATAATATGAATGAGCCAATGCGTCATGTATTTTTGCACTCAACATACCTACTTTAATGTAAAACCTTGAATGAAATCATGCTCGTGTATCTTTATCTATCTATATCTAAAAATATAGAGGGAAAAACAAATTTTTTAGTTACACCGTTTATAACTTAACAATGGGTGAGCGATTTTTGTGAATTGCGACGAATACCAGAATGATTATATCAGTAACACCTGTTTTAATCAGCGAAATGATAGGTAAAGTCTGGGTAAGATAATTTTGTTATTAGACTCTTTGGAATGAAGGTTCAACTCTTTTTTTCAATACCTAAATAGGTTCTAGAACCTTGTATCGGAAAATTTTTGATAGGTAGTAATCGTACTTGTCACCATTCTACCAATACGGTAATGATATGGTCAAGCATTCATTCATTTTATTACTAGAACGCTGCACACAAAAACGTATTGATTCACTAGAAAACCCTATTTTCCCATTTCTTCCACAGCACTCCACGCGATATAATAAGTGCATTACACAATAGATGTAGTCACGTGGGTGACACGTGACAGCCACGCGTCAGTCGCAACGCAACTGCCGTAGGGGCCGCACGTATTATTCCTTGCACGCGCATATGCACTTTAAAAACGGAAGGGTGCAGACATTTCTTTTGCTTCGATAGTTTGTTTTGTCAGTATTTAGGGGCTTTAGTAGCTGAGCAAAGCAGTGAAAATGTTCTCAGATCATTAAATTAATTAGGCTTTCTATCAAAAAAATCGTTCATGGAAAATCAATAGCTCGTGAAATCATTTTAATTCCACAATGACAAAAGCATTATTTATGAACAATGAAAATCATGAAAGCAGACTAGTGAAAGAAGTAGATAATGTAGGAAGAGTAGAAAACTAAGATCAGCCTGCCCTAATCAAACCAAATCCCAATGAACTCATACCTATACAACGTATTCCAGTGAAGTCATTTAAAAAAGAGATCTTCAATCAAACGAATATCTAGAAACAGAACATAAAAGCACGAGAGGAAATCGGATGGATACGATAAGTCTGTGTTTTGATGGCCGAACGACATCAGCCAAGATAAATAGTAGGTGACGCACATATCATGACCAGATGTGTTCAAAACTGCTCTGAATTAACCGATACATTGACTAGATAACAAATTGAATTTATTGACTGCAAATGAATCGTACAAAAGTCATTGTTAAGTAAGATCGAAGATATTTTTCAATGCAAATTTATTCTCGTTATCTTTTAGATCATCTCACTGTTAAATGGAAAAACACTTTTAATTAAACTTTTGTTGCAACTTGCAGCTACATATTTATAGATACCAATAATATATTACAATAAATATTGTCTTCACCAACACATGTAATTGGAAGTTAAATGAATATCTATTGCATTAACACCTTTCCATTTTATTGTTTGTAATTATTTTTCTCATCTTTTTCTTATAATTATGTTGTTAAAATACACCATGCTGTAACCTACATTTATTCTTTATACTGCAATTTCGCTAAGATAACAATAAGATAAAAAATGTATTATGTTCAAAAAGTAGTTTAGACTGAATGAAAGCACCCGGATTATTGTAAATTGATCTTTGTTTTTTTGTGCATATTGCCACCGGTAAACAAGCAGACGGATCACCTGATGGTAAGCAATCGTAGTCGCCCATGGACACCTGAAACACCAGAAGCGTTACAAGTGCGTTACTGACCTTTTGGGGATTAGGAGTTTGAGGATTGTAGGGGATTCGGGGATTGGGAAGATTGGGGAAGGGGGAGGGAGCTGGGCCTCCGGTAACCTCACTCACAGGACGAAACACAACGCAAGCGTTGTTTCACGTCGGTTTTCTGTGAGGCTGTGGTATCACTCCGGTCGAGCCGGCCCATTCGTGCCGAAGCATGCTCGTCCACACTTAAAACTTGTTTTACTTTGGTGCGTCTGAATTGTTCATAAGAAATGATACTTGAAATTGGCACTAATAGAAACTCAGGAAAATACTATTGTGATTCTCTTTTATCCACAAAGTCTCCACCTCTCACTTCACATCCATTTCTAAGTCCTTTATAATCCTAAAACTAAGTCTTAACATCATCGTCTTTGACTAAGTCAATATAGGTACTGCCCGTAGAATGTTGTTTAGAAAAATTGTTACATAACATTACACCCTTCCAGCACTTCCTAATGGCATGCGTGTTTACGAAACGCATTCTATGATTGATGAACAATAACACAAACACATGGCATATAACTTGCATGCCAAGCTCATCACAATCACGGCTGTACAATACAGGTGTGTAGGGACGGTAGTGTTTACAATCGGCAAGGCATTGAGATGATTCTGAATGCGATGATATCACACGCGTCTAACAAACGTGTTTGTTTCTTGTTTAGAACGTAGGCCAACGGACTGTTGGGCCGTGGTTTGGTGATAGGCGGAGCGGGAGCGGGTCGCATAAGACGCAGGAGAAACGGGTATCATATAAGCAGCTCATATGAGGTGCTGCTCATAGGCTTCAAGACGTAAATCTTAACGGTTAAGTTAAATAAAATTATGAATGTTTAATGTTTAACTTTGTGAGGCTACTGTAGGATTCTTAGGATTGACTGACTTCTATTAGGATTGTCTATTTCTTTTCTCGCACCTCTTTTTTCCATTATATTTGATCAAACGTCTCCGAACCAATGAACAAATTTAACAGTTCTACATAATGCCCCAAATATTAATCGCTATCGCTTCTTACAATAACCGCACCACAACACCCCAATGTGCGAATATGAATTCAAAATCTTTCGATGTTGCTAGAAACAATATATTGATTAAGTACACTTCACACAATATTGTTTACATTTTCTCAACACGTTGTATGTTTGTGATGTGCAAAACAATCATTCGTCATGATGTTGTGTTTATTTAGCTATAAATTGTGCTTATAGTTAGTTAACTTGCTCATCCAATTTCTAATAAATTCACACGTAACATATGGACGTGCGAAAAATACGTAGGTGACGTTTTACTTCGTCTGCGTAAATCTTTGCGATGATGTTACATATTTGTATGGAGTTTACATTGACTTTGCAAGTTATGGTATAATACTATTTCACAGTTTCGTCCGAAGTATAGGGTTTTTTTTATTTAAGGGAGGAAAATCATCGAATGGCTTCTCCCGCCTGAGTGAGGCGGGAAGGAGTGTCAGACTCTTACTGACTATAAACCGCTCCGTTCCTACTCCTGCACTTCGAGCCGGAGCACCGGTACCCCGTTAAATCCTCCGCGGCTCTGTATCGGCATCAGCCCTATTGCGCCCCATCAGTGGTGGTCTGAGGGCTTCTTGAGGCTCCATTGTAAAGGGTGTAGGTGTAATAGTTAAGCCAAAATTAAAGTCAAAATTATTTATTTTAATTAAACCAGAAAAGCACTTTTGAACGTTAAGAAATAATTTAAACGTAAAGCTATTTGCTCATTATAAGGTTCCTATGGAGAAGAACGAACAAGAAAGTCCTTAATTCAATCAGGTTCACAATACAATTCTTTGGTTAAGTGTATCATTATAAAATTGCAAGCTCTATACATGTAATGAGTCCTAATAGCTATATTCAGACAACCACCATCTTGAGTAAAGTTTTGGGCAATGCTGTTTGTGTTGACGGGATTTGATCCTCATCTTCCTTAAGGGTCTCCGGGCGGGATGATTGCAAAACACTAACTCTCACGAATCGAGATGTAAGGTATTACACACAAATTACACATTATAAGTCTTCAAACCGCGACCAGCGATTAACGCATGTTTAGCAGTACCTATCATCTAAAAGTTAGGTTTGGTGACATAATTGCAATAGGTTAGATTTTTATTTTAATGTCCGTCTGGTAGATTATTTCAAAACATTAGATACGTATTTTTTATTTCCTTACAGAAACGAATACTTTCGACGATATATTGAAATGTCGCGTGACGTCACTTCTATGTACATACATTTTATACGTAGAAATGACGTTTTAGCCCCCACTCCTAAACTTTGATTAGTTTTATCTAAGTATTGTTTTCTTATACGACAAAATAAAAAATACGTGATTAATATTTTTCATTACCTAACTTACGGACTAATTTTATCTGTCATCATCCAAATTCTATTTTATAAATTGATTTTGGGAAATCTTAAGAGAAAAGCCTTTGCTTATCATTGGACTTTTAAAGCTGATTGTGATGATGAGTGAAATTATTTTACCTCGCATTTGGCCTACACAGGTGCAATAGTAAATATTACACCTGCATAATATGTTTGGACAGTTATGTCATCAGTGACATTATAGTACTGTAAAACATAGACAATAGACTGTAATTATGACAATAGATGACATACATTACAAAACCGCTAGGTGGCGCTGCACCGAACAAGACGTAAAAGTAGACGCGCCGCATTTAAATTTCTTTTAAAAATAATAGTAGTGCATAAAAGTTAATGAAAACCAAGTACCTCGACAAATTAACAACTAATTACCAAGTGCAAGTGTTATCCAAGAGTAAAACTCATAAATAGTGCAGTTATAACAACATAAACTCGTTATTCATAGCCGACCTAAATGTCAATAAAAACACATTTAATTTTGTATACAAACTTAAAATTGTGTTTAAAATAACTAATAAATAACCAAAACTAATAATAACAACAATTAAAATGTGTGTAAAAGTGCATAAAAGTAATTAACAGTGATTTGAAAAATAAAAACGTCAACCGCCCCAAACAGAAAATAAACAAAAAGGATATTGACCCTCAACGATTTTTTCTTAAACATTTCTAAATAGTGTAATAGTGGTGCTTAATTTGCCAGTATAAATTTAAGAACGCTTGGCGCATTGGATACGGCGCCCGGTCAACCACCTATTGACGTGAGCGACGTGCGTTCGATCCTGACACAAGCAAATCTCTTTTTGTGAGTTCAAAAAATTTATTATGAAATTCTTCTAAATTTAAAAATTGCATCGTGAAGTACCTAACAAAAAGGGACGAATATAATTTGCATTCACCATCAGAACTGTAGTTTCCAAATACTTCGATAGAGGGCGAAACTTGTTCTTACCTAGTTCGAAAAAAAACAAAAAATTGAAAAGTTCCTATACATAAAACTCAAACGTTAAATAAAAGATGTCACGAATAATTAATAATATTCCCAAACTGAACAACAGCGGCCGCAAGATGTCACTAGTAGCATGTTTTAAATGCAAGAAATGCGTGGATATAAAGTCAACTGTTCTATGTTCAGTATGTGCGAACAGATTTGAACTTTGTTGCGATGGCTACCCAGAACAAACATACAGATTATTAAGCGCTGAATCAAAAAAGAATTGGCGATGTAAAATGTGTGTAAAAGCAGCTACAAAGCAGAAGACCGCCAGTGCTAGCGGCACCATTATATCAAACATAACAGTAAGAAAAAAACAGAAGCCATCACCGACTCCCACACTAAACAATGACGCCTCGATGATGGACTCACACGTACTTTCGGATTGTGAAACCCTCAATGAATCACATATTTCGCCTAATAAACTGTCGAAGAGCCTAGATGGAACACTATCGGACTTAATCTCATTAACAGAAATGAAAGAAACACTATTACAGTGTAAAACGAAGCTCAATATGACTGAACAAGAATTAGATAACTTGATACTAGAAAATAATAACCTTCATAAACAAATAGAAAAACTAATCACGGAAAATAATACACTAAAATTGCTGTGCCAGTCGTCTACCATTATGGAAAGTACTCCTACCTCAACACAGAAGAGGGCATTAACACAACGGAACGCAGTAACTACTCCGGTATCATCATCCAAGCAAAATTCTGAGTTCCTACATATATCAAATCTGGAACGAAAGATTCAAAGTCTCCAACAACAGCTGAACGCCGCGGAACAAGAAATCGCTGATCTCACTCAACAAATAATATCCTTAACTCAACGTCTACGTAACAATAGTCTAAATACAGATACGACATATGGCAATGAAACCAGTACTCCGCTGTCAACACAATCGAAAATAATTTACCCACCGACCTCCTATTACGTCAAACAACCAAATAAATCAATATATATTTTCGGTGCCCAACAATGTGTGGGCCTGGCTGCAACGATTATGTCCTCACGCCGGAGTACCAAGTACGACAAATACAGGATAATTGCTGAAACGAAACCAAACGCAATGACTAGCGAAATCGTAAAAAACTGCGAGCACCTTGAAATGAAACCGGGTGACAAACTTATAGTAAACGTGGGAGAAAATGATCATAATGCAAGAAACATATTGTCACAGTTGAGACATATTTTACATAAATTTCATGATAATACCATTATAGTGTTAAGTGTTGCAAAAAACTATTATCTAGATACTATTAAATTAAATAAAGCTATAAAAAATATATGTGTTAAATATAAAAATTGTAATTTTGTGAACAGTAAATTCAACAACTTGTATAACATTAGTGCTTCAATCAATTACTTAGTGGATTATAGTGATTATAGTGCAAAATATCTTAACCCTAAAGCTCTTAGACAACTAATGTGTAACAAACCAAGTAACAAACCAAATACTGGCGCATGTGAACCAAAAAAAGGGACCATACCTTATTATTTTAACCGCCTTCAAAATGTAAATATACACCAACCAAATACCAATGTACAAGCACCTGGAAAAAATAAGAGTAAGGGTACTATACCCTTCTACTTCCCTATAATAAAAAGAAATAACACGTTTTTTCGGAACTAATACACTTTTTGCTGACACCTCTCCTAGATTAGTATTTAGAATATTACACCAAAACATAGCCAGCCTACTATCTAAGCAAGAACTCCTTGAAATAACTTTAAAGGAGCTACAAAAGGACTTAAATGAACCCGACGTAATATGCCTCTCTGAAACTTTTATCAAAAAAGGCTATGAGTGCTACGTAAAACTTCATAGCTATACCATGGTTGATAGTTTCTGTAGGGATAAGCAAAGAGGTGGAACTTGTATCCTAGTGAAAAACACAATTATGTGCATGAAAATTCCACTTGTTAAAGAACATGCATCACAACATACCTTTGAGGCATGTGGTATAGAGGTGCCACATAATAACCTAATAATAATCTGTATTT